CTGACTGACTGACTGACTGACTGACTGACTGACTGACTGACTGACTGTCCGTCCAGAGTGAGAGAGAAAGAGAACAATGACTTTGCGAACCTGGCTAAAGTAACAAGAGAATCTGGGAAGTACTGTACCAACTAAGGGGATCAGGCAGGATTAGGAATAGTATTGTTAGTATTAAAATCTTACTGTTACATGTTCCTTAATAAAGTTGAGACAGTTTGCATTGGTATCAACATGTGTCTGTAGTGATCTGACCATTCTCTATTGTGGTATACCTGGGTAAGTTCATTTATAACCTATTGGTCGAAGTGCCTGACAGGCACAAAAGGCCTTGGACAACAGTTAAAATCCAATTGTAATATTGCCTCACTGTTCTTACTCTCTGCAGATCTCAATTGCTATCTCATCTCCACTGTTTGCTGGTCAGTAATGCACGTAAAGAATTGTATAATTGCTGTTCCTATTTTATAACGCAATCATGAGGATGCTCTTGTGATTAAACATTTTGATTGGGTTCCTTGCAAGGACTCCACAAACCAATTTTTCTTCTCTCATTTTAGCTCCTACAAATGTTTTAATTAGTGATAAAAACTGAAAGAACTGCTGATGCTGGAAAAGATAGAAATTGCTGGAAAAGCTCAGTCGGTCATAAAGTCATAGAGATGAGAGATTCGGCATGTCCATAAGAACCCTCACTAACTTTTGCAGATGCACCATAAAAATCTTTCCTATAGCAGGGAAACCAGAATTGCATGCAGTATTCCAAAAGTGGCTTAACCAATATCCTGTACAGCCACAGGTCTGACAGCATCTGTGGAGAGAAATCAGAGTTAAAATTTTGGGTCCAGCAACCCTTCTTCAGAATTGATGGTAGCTAGGAAAAAGTTGTTTTATTATGCAGAAAGTAGGATGGGTGGAGGGGTTAATGAGTAAACCATAGGTAGAGTTAGAGCCCGAAGAGAGAGAAGAACAGTTGGACAGACAAAGGAGTAGATGATGGTCAGCCTAAGAGAATGAATAGCTGCTAATGGATACTGTTAGTGGCTAACAATGGGGTGTGTGTATAGTTGACATTTGATAACAAGACCTGGTGTGTGGTGTTAGGGTATGGACATGGGAGAAGGTGCCTCAAGCCCTAAACTTTGAAGGCTGTAGAGTTCCCAAGTGGAACATGATTTGCTATTGTTCCAGCTTGCGCTGAGCTTTGCTGGAGCACTGCAGCAGGCCTGAGACAGAGATGTTGGCCAATGAACAAGATGGTGTGTTGAAGTAGCAGGCAACTGGAAGCTCAGGGCCTTTTCTGCGGATTGAACGTGGGTGTTCTGTGAAGTGGTTGCCCACTCTAAGCTTCATTTTCTCGATATAGAGGAGACCACATTGTGAGCAGCAAATGCAGTCGACTAGTTTGAAGTGCAGGTAACGCACTGCTTCACCTAGGCCCTTGGATACTGAGGAGGGAGGAAGTAAATTAACAGGTGTTTCACCTTTTGCGGTTACAGGGGTAGGTGCCAAGGGGCTGTAGGATGGTATTGGGAGTGAAGTAGGACTAGACAAGAGTGTCCTGGAGGAAACAGTCCCTGCAGAAGGCTGACAGGGGAGAGGAGGGGAATATGTGGCTGGTGGTGCCATCCCACTGGAGGTGGCAGAAATGGCAGCTAATGATCCTCTGGATGTAGATGCTGGTGGGATGATAGGTGAGGATAAGGGGGACCCTATCACTGTTGTGGGAGGGAAGAGAAAGGGTGAGGGCCAAAGTGTGGGAGATGGGTCAGACTCGGTTGACGGCCCTGTCAAGTATAGTGTTGGGGAATCCTTGGTTGAGGAAGAAGGTGGGACATTTTGGAGGCCCCCTTGTTGAAGTTGGCATTATCAGAACAGATGTGATGGAGACAGAGGAACTGGGAGAATGGAATCGAGTCTTTACAAGAAGTAGGGTGTGAAGTTGTATAGTCAAGGTAACTGTGGGAGTCAGTGGGTTTGCAATGGATAAATGTGGTCAGTCTATCCCTGGAAATGAAAATGGAGATGCCAAGGAAGGGAAGGGAGGAGTCAGAGATGGACCAGTTGAAAGTGTGAGTGGGGAAATTGGAAGCAAAATAGATAAATTTTTCTATTCCAGACAAAAGCTGGAAGCAGCACCGATGATGTCATTGATATACTGGAGAAAGGACTCTGAGTGGGAGCCGGACCCTCTGACATTTGTCATGTATTCCATAATCTTTAACCATTCCTACTTGTGTCACATGGGATTATTTGTTTTTTGCATCTTTTGAAAATCGAGTAAAGAACATTTTCTGGGATTATTGCCATCCATTGACTTTGCTCCTTGCTCAACAATTCCAACAATTTTATGTGGATTTAATTTTTATTTATGAAACCATTTTGATGCTAACTTTTATCCCTTCCTCTGACACCTTATTCTGCAGGTAGAAATTGTAACATTAAGAATCTCATTACACAAGCAACTTTGTAATTGCTTGTAATGACTTTATCTGAGTTGGTGCTGAATATGATAAGTCACTTGCGTACAAAGTCTGGAAAAGTCAATTGCAGGGCAACCAGTTTCTATGATACACTTGGCAAATGTAGGTCCTCTCTGCTGTATTTTATCTTAGCTACTACTGTAATTTTTTTACAATCATCATTTTTGCCATGCAAATTATTTTTAAGAGAACAACACAGCATCAGACTTTGG